GAGTTTGTTTAGTGACTGTTCAGGATGAAAACACCAATACTAATATATTATAGACTATTATTGCTGAAGTTGAGTTTGTTTAGTGACTGTTCAGGATGAAAACACCAATACTAATATATTATAGACTATTATTGCTGAAGTTGAGTTTGTTTAGTGACTGTTCAGGATGAAAACTCCAATACTAATATCTATTATTGTTGAAGTTGAGTTTGTTTAGTGTTCCATATCTTAAGTAGTCATGAAAGTTTTGTTTTTATCTATTTCAGAGAGAACCCATGTCACATTTTTGAGTGTTACTGTGAAGTTGTCATTCCATCTAGCTGTAATGAAGGTATGTATTATTACTGATTATAAATATTTAGTTATTTTACATTTTGGAGCTTGATGTTAGTTATGTTTTGCAAACAAAGAAAGCTGATTTTAGATAGGCATCATGTAGTATTTGTCTTAACTTTCATAGTCTAGGTAAAAAAAAGAAATACTCATATAACTTTATCAAAATCAGTGATCCTCAGAAGCTGTAAAAAAATGATTTCAAACTGTCATCAACAGTCTACAAAATTAATTGGTTTTGTAGTGTTTTTTTTATTTATATAGAAGAGTACCCTCCAATGTTGGTTTCTTAGTGAAAATTATTTGTACATGTAAGATTTCATTTCTATCCATAGAAGACCCGGCATGGCCAGGTGTTTAGGGCACTCGACTCGCAATCTGCAGGGTCAAATCCTGTCACACCAAAACATGCTCACCCGGTGTCCAGCCTAGGATGCTAGTCCTACTCCTAGATACTCACCTCCAAAACAATTTGGAAGTGTGAGAAACACCATATGAAACTACTATCCATAGAAGACCCGGCATGGCCAGGTGTTTAGGGCACTCGACTCGCAATCTGCAGGTTCAAATCCTATCACACCAAAACATGCTCACCCGGTGTCCAGCCTAGGATGCTAGTCCTACTCCTAGATACTCACCTCCAAAACAATTTGGAAGTGTGAGAAACACCATATGAAACTACTATCCATAGAAGAAAAAGAATATCAGTCTACTCCTTTCATGTAACACTTATTGTCAAAAAAGATTTGAAAAGAAGATCTCACATATTATTAAGTACATACTAACACAGACAAAAGGTACTCATTTCAAGTAACACTTACTGTCAAAAAAGATTATCAAAAGATCTCGCATATTATCAAGTACATACTGACACAGACAAAAGGTACTCCTTTCATGTAACACTTATTGTCAAAAAAGATTATCAAAAGATCTCACATATTATTAAGTACATACTAACACAGACAAAAGGTACTCCTTTCATGTAACACTTATTGTCAAAAAAGATTATCACCAGAAAAGAAGAAATAAAACAATGGGGCGCCGTAGTACAAAAACGACAGCAAATGCTGGAGCTCTGTGTAGTAGTAGTGCACCAAACTCATTAAGATTGAATGTCCATACTGACATACGTGTAGAGATACGGAACCCTAAACTCATTTTCTGTCATATCAAAGGCTTTCTATTTCATTACTACTGACTACATATCCTGTGACTCATGCTTATGTAAGTTCATCAGGCATTACATACAGTCATAGAATGACACACATAAGGAGTCATCAAGTTATGATTTTTCTTTCCTGTGTAATTAGAAATCATAAGTCATTCCTATGACAGTAGCTATGTAAACACATGGAGCACGTTATAGTTTATTGGAACACATTTCTACTGTCATCAAATGCTGCAGATATGACAGCCATGTTATTTATAGATGTATAAAAATGCTCAATGGTAGGCAAGATTTAATACTTCTTTCTTAGCACACGTATTTCATCTATAGGATAACAAGAGAAGTTCCTTTAACTTCATACCAAGTTATATGGTAGAGGATCACTGATAAATAGATCAACACAGAATTTACTCTTTGAACACTACTAGATGAACAGTAGAGTAATACAGGTTCCACTACCAAACTAACATTCCTTCTACATACATTAAAAAACTATCTGGAGCTCATTCACCCTGATTTTTTGGAGGTACAACTAACCACACAAGGACATACAGGTTAACAATTACCGAAACACATAAGTACATTACAGCTACAAAAATAGTAACGATGACTCTTTTGGTTTCAAGTTACCATTAATGAAATTAGTAAGAATATATAACTTCATAAAGTACTCAGTCAATTTCTATTATTTTTCTTCCAACTTCTTTTGCCAACTTTCATATTCATCTGTAAATTTGTAAGAAAATGTTTTACGATCAATGCAGTTTACGGCTCAATGTGAAAGAAATGGGCCATTTATATTTCCTAGATATTTAGTCACACATGAAAATGACAGACATTTCTTTACTTGTGTTCATCATAAACCTATACATTCAGGTAAATATTTAGAATTTTTTTCTTGTCATCTCAAAAGATAGAGATACTGCAGTTAAATTTTACTTAACAAAATGATGATATTGTCAATCAACTAGGGAAAGAGGAGAAGCATATTATTAAATCCTTGGGGTGAAGGAAAGAAATACCTACCAAGCTAAGAAAGGAGAGTTTTATTTATTCCATATATCAAATGTGTTTCTGAGCCTTTACACAGGATGTTGAATAAGATTAAATCGTATAGACATTTTGGAATTTACTAGTTTACCCAATAGATACTTTACAATTACACAGTTCAACAAAATCAAATGTTTTTCTCTCATCAACATATAAATACACTTTTGCATGCTGATTCCAGATCTGTTTGCGGTTTTCTTGTAGCACATCTAATTATCAAAATATGACTGGTGTTAATATCAGCACAATTTAGGTAATAATCACACATTAGACTAGTCAACATTAAAACTTTATCCATTTTTCAGTATAATTCCCATAAACGTTATACACAACATACACTTAGTTAAATTTATACAGTACACACTTATGAAAAAAGAAATGTGCAACAACTTAAATTATAATTAAGGCAATAACCTTTCAAATTTGATCGATCTCATCATGAATACTTGTTATGCTAAAGGAAAACCAAAAACAGATATAATTATATCTGAGGAAAATGACTTGTTGGCCAGTGTTGTGTAATAAAGTGGCTGTGGCTAATGGATTACTCTGTAAAGAATTTATAGCACTAAAAATATGTCAGCCCTCTTGACAGGTTAGGTTTTAATGGCTGAACACAAGCTTGCCCATGCTGACACATAAAGATATGCAGTAGCAGAACATTTCCTTTTGTTTGTGTTAGTATGTACTTGATAATATGTGAGATCTTTTGATAATCTTTTTTGACAATAAGTGTTACATGAAAGGAGTACCTTTTGTCTGTGTCAGTATGTACTTGATAATATGCGAGATCTTTTGATAATCTTTTTTGACAGTAAGTGTTACTTGAAAGGAGTACCTTTTGTCTGTGTCAGTATGTACTTGATAATATGCGAGATCTTTTGATAATCTTTTTTGACAGTAAGTGTTACTTGAAAGGAGTACCTTTTGTCTGTGTCAGTATGTACTTGATAATA